GCGCTTGCTCGGGTTCGACAATATTAAGCAACATTCCGTTTACATTTGTATTAAAACTCAGGTCCATTGAGTTCTCTTTCCCTGCTAGAGTCCTGGAACGGACAGTCGACTCACAGACGCTGCCATCAGCTAAAGAACTCCAATTCCCATAAGACCCGCTGGGCAACGTCCTGGAGTCACGAGTCCCGCCCGGTGCGAGTGCCCTGCTGTCAGGCCGTGTCCCACAAATGTCGCGCTGAGCCCTTCTTCCTCCCTAGTGGACTTCGAACAGGGTCACATGACGAGCGTTAGTGCTGCTTTCTCTCCCGCGGCTCAGTACACATGTACACATTCTCCTCTCGGAGGCGGCTGAAACTGCATCTCCTCTCGTCTGTCCCCGCCTGCACACACGCAGTGCTGACTGACGTTGAGCAGGCTCGGCTTCAAACGGCCGAAGTGGATTAAGACCTGGCAGTACCGCTCTCCGTTTTCCTACGGATTCCGAACCCATATTGTAATCGTGCAAATCTGCCCTTTCCTCTCACCGTGTGCTTTCTTACTGTAAAAGGCGTTGAGAAGCCGCTTGTAAAGACGCTACATAAAATAAAAGATCCCATGAGACACTCTCTCTCCGTGTTCTGTCCTGCAGTGCGAGATTCTGTGAGGCCGGTGATCTCTCCCCCAGGTACTAGCCAGGCTCACACCTGCTGAGCTGCCAGCTGGGAGCTGCAGGCTGATGCAGCTGCTGGCAATAATATACATCTCTGGTGGTCAAACGAGCCGTATAGTTTTGTTAACCCTGCCCACGGCAGTTTACACGATTGCTATGATTTGAACTGAAAAGTGAGAAAACCGCTACTGACCTAACCCTAACTTATCAGAGGCCACAAGCTCAGGGGACAGTCCAGCGCGGGCCCCCGATTCACAGCCCTTACACTTCCCCAAGTTAAAGCAGTTTTGTAAAGAAGAATGGGCTAAAATTATTCAGAACTGATGCGCGGTATGATAAACAGCTAAAGGAAATGATTAAAGTACTTTATTTTACTCAATGTAACATTAAATACCAGTGAAGAAAGATGTGAAGACGGGGGTTTGAATTTAATCCTTTCTGTAGGGGGTTTAGACTTCTTAGTCACAAGCTGGGGTTTATGGCAGGAAAGGGGGTTAACTGATAAGGATTGCAGATGCAAGCTAGGAACCCCCCTGGGTGTAAT